GGAGCTGGTGCAGAGTGTGTAGGCCGCGGCTCGTGCCGTTGAAGTCGCCCAGACCCAGTGCCGTGGCCTCCCTGCCTGCGTGGACGTGGGGGCGGGAGGCGGTGGGGTCCTGGCGGCGGGGCGTGGTGTGCATCCGTCCCACACTGCCCAGCGGTGGGAGCGTGATCTGATGAGTTTCTGCACCACCCGTGCGAAGTTTGCCACTGTCGATGGGCGGCACCTTGCGTCGAAATGCACGGGCATGACCCGCAAAGGCCGAGAGAATTTAGCGCGCATCGAGGCGGGCAAGTACCCCCGCAGAGAAGGGGTGTCCAAGGCACTGCAGGCAGCCCTCGATGCGATGGAAACCAGCGGCCTCGCGAGGTCGTGCCCGAGTACCGCTGGTGCTGTGCCCTTGGGAGTGGACAGCGCGCCGTCCGCCGCGGCTGGGCAGTTGGGCCTTCCTCTGGAAGACTGACTGCTCAGTCGAGGTTGCATTGGTGTGGAGGCGCCGGCGGTTTTCGCCTTCGCTCAAGCACCCCTGTTCGGGGCGTGTCTCTCCCTTCCCTCCCCTCCTTCCCCCTTCCCCGCACGACCTGTGCTTGGTCAAAAGGTCCAACAGGTCCTCCGCCTCCTCCTCTTCCACCTCCGCCTCATCATTATCTTCCTCCTTCTCCCGCCCTTCCTTGAGGGGGGAAAATCAGCTGGGGACCGGCACAGGAGGAAACATCGAGCTGGAATCGGCGATTCCTCGCCGATAAATCGGTGATGGGCCCCCAATAGGTGAACGTTTTCTTCTCTGGCGTTTCGACATTGGGCGGACGGGGGGGGAGGGGGGGGTCTGGCTCCGGACTTCTGCTTGATGCGACTGTGTTGTAGCAGTGCGTCCTGTGGGGGAGACCCCACCTGCGTGAAACAGGCGCCCAAAACAGCCAAGATCCACTCCAGGAGGGGGAAGGGGTGCGCAGACCCGCGCCGATTGGCAGAACAAAAAGTAAGAACATATTCACTAGCGAATCCGTACGCTTCTGGGCGGGGTGTGATGTCGGGCACCTCTCGGCGATGAATCGGGGATTTGGGGGCGATGCATCCCACCCCGGGCATAGGGCTGGTCCAAGGCAATTGCGGTGCCCCGCACGGTGCCCAAAGCCTGCCACGGACGGTACCCCAAAATGCATGGTGTTCGTTCACACGCTGTGTGTTTCGCGATTGCCTTCCTGGTTTGCCCTCGTGCCCCCCCCTTGCTTGTCCGATACTTTCCTGGTCCTCTTATTCTTGTCTGCCCAATACCAAGGCCCTCTCGGGTTTCATCTTTTCGACGCGAAGCCTTTACGAAACGGCGCCATCACGACGTGCCCGGAATGGGCTCCCTGCGCTCCCAAGACGGAGTCCGCACGGTGCCCGGAACGGGTGCCTGAATTGGCACGCCGCGTGCCCGAAAATGCACCCAAGACAAAGACAATGTGATGCCCCCCCCCCAAAAAAAACAGTGCCCAAAAATGTGCCCCCAATGAAAACGGGCAAACGGCGCGGAGCCTCCTCCCAGCCAAACCAACGCTGGGCACAACGCAACTCCGAAAACCCATTTGGCCTCCAATTTGGGCACGGCGCAAGAATTTCTGGGACCGTGGCAGCAGCATGCTTGGGCACAGGACCTCCTGAGGTGGACCGACGGCGGCCGCGTCGGAGGGGGGCGCCCGCGAACCCGAGCGGGCACGGGCACGAAGCCCCGAGCCACACGGCACGAACCCTCGAACCCACGACGCGGGCCCCTCGGGCCAACGGCATAGGTCCGCGGGAACATTGGAGGCCTGGAAATGGGCACCAACACCAACACAGGGTGTTGCCTCCACAGGGGGAAGATGATCTCAGATTTCGGCGTTGGCGGTAATAGTTCGGCCACCTTGGATGCCATCATATTACCACAATCACCGAGATCGGGACCTTCTTTCCTCGGTGGAGGCACACCGCCGAAATTGGTGTTGGTGTCAACCTCTAGGCCTGCGAGAACAGCATCGCGGGTCCCCAGGGTCGCGGCGGGGGCCCTGGAGGCGACGATGGCGCTGCTGTCCCCAAGTCCACGCCTGCCTGTGATGCCTCGAGCACACGAGGGTGCGGATGCGGTGTGGCGCTGCCGCTCCCAGTGCCACGCCTGCCCGTGAGGCCTCAGGCACACGGGGTGCGTCCGCACGCTGGCCACTCTCTCCGCGCGCACTCTTGGTGTGCGTCCCGGCCAGAGGGATGGTGGGCACGAGCGACTCTGGGGCACGCCCATCCGGGGTCCTGGGCTATCCCCGCAGGGATGAGGATGAGGAGGGGGGAGGCAGAGGATGAGGAGGATGAGGTTGGAGCGTCTGGGGGACCGCGTGTCTCCGACGTGACTGAGCCCGATGACGAGATCCAGGCCTCCTGCGACGAGGACCGCCGAGGGGCAGCTCGACCGCCTGCAAGGCTGCATGGGCGAGAGAAGAAGCATCATCGTCCTCGTATGGTACAGCTCGAGAGCTACTCTCCTGATGTGCCAGCCTGTAAAAATGAAAATAAAACGCCACGCTGTATATTCAAAGGCCACGGGATGAGGGTGGATAAGGCCTAGAGCCAGGAGGGGGTCCAAAAACGGGGGCGCAGGAAGGTCATATCCTAGTTGGAGGAGGAGGAGGAGGAGGAGGAGGAGGAGGAGGAGGAGGAGGTAGATAATGCCACTCACTACTCCTCTTCCTCCTCCTCCTCCTCTTCCTCCTTTTCCTCCTCCGCTTTCCACCTGCAACTGACTCCAGTGCACGGATCTCGGCTTCGCCGCGGTTGCAGATCGATGCCTCTTGCCATTGCAGATCGGACGGTGCGACCAGGAGCTCTGCAGCTGCTACAAATCTCGGGGTTACGCCCGAAAAAAACGACGCGCAGCACAGGTTCCCTCTCTCCTTCCTTCTCCTCCTCCATGGCATAGCCCGCGCAAAGGCGCGGCCGCACGAGATCTCGAACCCGGCGGAGGGCGGCAGCTCACCAGCAGCACTGGCAGGCCGGGGGCTTGAACGAGCACATCGCGTCGCGGCGCACCTGGCGGCCGTGAGGTGGAGCAGGGCGGCGCCCTCTGTCTCCCTCCTCTCTGCTCCTCCTCCGCCTCCTCCTCCTCCTCCTCCTCCTCCTCCTCCCTCCCTCCCTCCCTCCCTCCCTGCGCCTCCCTCTCTCCCTCGCTCCTCCCTCCGCTCGCTCCTCCCTCCTCCTTCCTCCTCCTCCTCCCTCCTCCTCCTCCCTCCTCTCCCCTCCTCCCATCCAATCTCCTCCCTCACTGTCCTCCCTCCTCCAATCTTCCCCTACTCACGCCTCCCTCCTCCTCCTCCTCCTCCTCCTCCTCCTCCTCCTCCTCCTCCTCCTCCTCCTCCTCCTCCTCCCCCATCCTCCTTCTCATCCTCCTCATCCTCCTCCTGCTCCTCCTCCTCCTCCTCCTTCTCCTCATCCTCCTCCTGCTCATCCTCTCCCTCCTCCTCCTTCTCATCATCCTCCTCATTGTTTCTCCTCCTCCTCCATGCCGTTCCCCTACAACTTACACCGCACCCCGGACGTGTCGGTAGGGCGGACTGGGCGTTTTGCCCGAGACGTCCTCACCGCTTGTGGTCCTCAGACTTGGCAGTTGCAAGAACTGCACGGGTGGAGGGCGGGCCGCTTGTGAAAAATGCAGCACTCGCCTAAGAACTGCGCACATTCGTCTTAGGATCTGGGCACAGCTTCCTGGATTGAGGGCGGGTCCTTTTTTTTAATGTGCCACGCGTCCTAGCGCCGTGCACGTTCGCGGTACAGCTCGCAACAGCGTCAAGGATGGAGGGCGGGTCTGTGTCAAAACATGCGTCTTAAAAAGCCGCAGCAGCTTCACGGAGGGCGGCACCTGCTCAGAATGTGGCTCTCGCTTCAGCGACGTGCACATTTGTCTTGACAGTTTGCAATAGCTTCAAGAATTCGTGTGGCTGCAACAGTCCCAGGAACGGTTTCCTGGCAAAGTATAGGACTGCCAGGACGCAACAGTCACATCGATTCGGATTCACGGTGTTGAAATCCCAGGAATGCTGTTCTGGCTGACAGGACACGCAACAATCACGTTGATTCGCGGCGCTGAAGTCCGAGGAATGGTGTGTTGGCGCGATTGAAGATGCCCGGACGGTTGTCTTCCAACGGGCCACTTCCCGTAATGATGATAGATTGGTGCAGGGACCTATGAAGAGGGACGTGCAGGAAAGTGTATTGCAACATCGTTGATGCGTCATGGATATACAACGGCCCTCTTGTTCCTCACCCCCTTACTTACGTAACTAGTTACTTATAGGCTTACTTAATAATGTATGGGAAGAATCGTCGAGTCTATACGTACCTCCACACGTACGCCCTGTAGGAGGAGGAGGAGGAGGAGGAGGAGGAGGAGGAGAAGAAGGAGGAGGAGGACGAGGAGGAGGTGCAGCATCAGCAGGAGGAAGAGGACGGGCTCCGGGAGCCTGGACCGTCCTCCTCCTCCTCCTTCTCCTCCTCATCATCCTCCTCCTCCTCCTCCTCTCCTCCTCCTCCTCCTCCTCATCATCATCATCATCATCATCATCATCAGCATCATCATAATCATTATCATCATCCTCTCATTCTCTTCCTCCTTCTCCTCCTCCTCGTCTTCATTCCAAATTCTGCCTCTTTCTCCTCCTCCTCCTCCTCCTCCTCCTCCTCCTACCCCCCTCCCTCCTCCTCCTCCTCCTCCTCATCCTCCTCCTCCTCGTCGTCGTCGTCTTCGTCGTGGTCGTCGTCGTCGTGCTCCTTATAATTTTCTTCATCCTCCTCCTCCTCCTCCCTTGCCCCTCGTTCCTCCTCCCTCTTCACCCCTCCGTCCTCCCACCTCCCTCATCATCCCTCCTCTATGCTCCTCCTTCTCTTCCTTCTCCTCCTCCTCCTCCTCCTCCTCCTCCTCCTCCTCCTCCTCCTCCTCCTTGTAGTAGTAGTCTTGCCTGTTCTCATGCCCTCCTGCTGACCATCATCATCCTGGGCACCAGAAGGTAAGCGCGGAATGGCGGTGGGGCCGCGCCAGTCTCTGGGATCGTCGAGGCGGCGCGCATCGAGTGCACCTTGCAGGTCTTCCCGCAGATGGCCTGCAATCGCTCCTGGAGACCATGAGCACAGAGGAGACAAACGCAACCGCTGGGCTTAGGGGCGGCTCCCTCCCAGCCCAGCGGTTGTGGATGAGCTCTACGGGGATGCCCGCCCAAGCCTGCCACCTCTCCCAAGGAAGAGCTCAGGCCAGAAAGGGAAGCGCAACCAGGGGCGGAGAGGGCCCTGGAAGCGGTCAGCACAAACAAATCCGGCCCGAATCGGGTAGTAGTGGTTCCCGCGAGGTGCAGAGCAGGCACGGAGAAGGCTCCAAGAGGTTTTCCGAGCCTCTTGGAGATTTTGGGCGGTGCCCCCAAAGACCTCGCCAGGTGCCTCGCGCTTCACGACAAGTGATGCTGGGGCGACCTTTCATACGGCAAGACATCTCTCTAAGGAACCCTTGGGCACAGGTCCTCAGATTCCTCCGGTCGTCGACCTTTCAGGGTCCTCAGGTTCTCCCGAGCTTCTGTGGGTCCCTGGGCCATCCGGAGGTCCATAATCTCCGCAGGGCACACGCTGGCAGACCGATTTCTTATTTGATGTTCCCTCTGCATCTCCCCGCAACCTCAGAAACCTCTCCGCGTGTACACCCGCTCACACCAGAGGAGGAAGGAGGGGCAGGAGGAGGAGGAGGAGGAGGAGGAGGAGGAGACGGGAAGGAGGAGGAGGAAGAGGGAGGAGGAGAGGTGGAGGAAGGAGGAGATGAGGAGGAGGAGGACGAGGAGGAGGGTAGGAGGAGAGGAGGAGGAGAAGGAGGAGGCAGAGAGAGGAATGTAGGGGAAAGGAGGAGGAGGAGGAAAGGAGGAGGAGGGAGGAAGGAGGAAGAAGGGGGAGAGACGTGGGTGGGGGAGGGAGGAGGAGGAGGGAGGAGGAGGAGGAGGAGGAGTAGGAGGAGGAGGGAGGAGGAGGGATGAGGAAGGTGATGAGGTGAGGGGGGAGGCTTTCTTAGTATGATGAAGGATGCGGTGGACTATTCTGCTGAGTGTCCTAGTTACTGCGGCGGAGGATGCGTATGGAGTAGGGAGTCTGGGCGCTTCTCATACTCACTCGGCGACATGCTGTGCTTGCTTCTGGTCGGATAATTCTTCTTTGATTCGGACCCTCTGTGCGTCGGTGTTTTAGGGATGCGTCTTGCGTATTAGTATTTTCTCTTCTTCCTAGGAGTGAGTAGACCTTCTCATCTGCTTCTGCTTGCCCCGGTCTTCCTTGTCTGTATTATCTTCGTCGTCCTTATTTCTTCTTCTTGCGGCGGACTTATTAGTCGGCTTAGGTCTTTGCTTCGTTTTATTATTCTTAGCACTCGTTTTTTCTTATTTTTTTTTAGATAGACCTTTGTCTTATTCGTTCCTCGCCTACTTTCCTTTGCGTTTCTGTCTCTTTTAGCCTTCATTGTTTCCTTTGTTTTCTCCTTTTTTTTTTGTTCTGTTTTATGTTTTTTTTTGTTTTTCTTTTTTTTTATTCTTGTATGGTTTTTCTTTTTTTTTCTTTTTTTTCTTCTGTTCTCAGTTCCCTTTCTCTTCTTGTTCTTCTTCTTCCCCTCCTTCCTTCCTCCCCTCTCCTGTTCTTTGTCCACTCTTCCCTCTCTTCTCCCTTTTCCTCCTCGCCTCTCTTCTCTCGTCGCCTTCTTCGGCGACTCTGCGGCGGCACCGCCTTGGGCACCGCTGGCGCTGCGGCGACGCCGCCGCCGTGACGCCTCGGGCGGCGCCGCGGGTGGCGCCGGGGGCGGCGGTGGGACCGCGCTGCCAGCCAGGGGGGAGAAAGGGAAGAATAACGGTGACCATGACGCGGGGGTGGCGACAGGGGAAAGGGGGCGAATAGCCCAGGGGGGAGCCAGCGCATGTGTCCCATGGCAACGACGGTCCATGTCTTCGGCGAGGCTCCCCAGCGAGTACGTGCAATGCCCGCCGCTGGCCTGTTCGCCCCTATCGTCGCCTCCGAATGACCGAGACTGTACGGCCAGAATGGACAATGACCAAGATCGGCGTCGACGAGATCCCGCGGTCAGAGGTTGTCTTGGTGGGATCGAAGGTTTGTGTTGGTGTGGTCGGACGGCCTGGAACCTCCTCTCCGGGGGGGGGGGGTTCGGGGGTCCGAGGCTTGTGCTTGGTGTGGGCGAGGTCTGTTCTGATGTGGAGGGGGGGCCCCGACCATACAAAACGAAGCCCGCGACCTTCGCTCTGGGGGGGTCAAAATAGGTGGCGATGTCCGAACCCTACTCCCACCAACCATCGATTGTGCTGAATCGGTAGGACGCAGGGAGAAGGTTCGGATTTCGCCACGTGCTCGACGAATTCTGCACCCTACCCCCGCCGCCCATCGAGTTGCCTGACTCGTTGATGGGCGAGGGTAGGTTCGAACTTCGCCGCCAAGTCGTGGGCATCGTGTTCGTTCCCAAGTGGGCATCGGCGCCGTCGGCGCGGAGAAATTCAGGCTCCACATCGAGCCGCATCGTCGATGCATCGGCGATGCGGCCCCGTCTGGGAGGCCTCGAGAAGTCCAGGCCCTCTCCCCAGGGCCCGGCCCTTTGCCCCGAGTCGCTCTCTGGCGGCATCGGGGCCCAGCAAGGACCCCCTGACGCCGAGATCTATGAAAAACCTCCGGCTCGCCACGCCTTGCTCAGCACGCCGAAAGCACGTTCGGCCATGGTCGTCGTGCTTCTTCCCTCGCGGCAGGGGCCCCGCTGGCTGCTCCGGCGCAGCCCGGGTTTTGCACCGGCGCCGGGAGCGGAGGGGGGGTCCGCTCCTCGCTGCCAGGTGCAGCCGGCAGGGGGGCAAAGAGCGCCATTGCCTCGGAGCATCGCTTTAGCCGACCCCTACAGTAGGAGCTCGAACACAAGAAACCTTCCACGAGAGACCCAACCCTGAGACCCCAGGATGTCCATTGATTGTTGGTGCGGGAACGTCACACTATCCACAGCAAGGCCATCAAACCCAAGAAACCCAAGGCACCCTGGAGGCAAGCAGGGTGTTTCTTGGCATGGGCTTCCGCTGTATCCCCACTGACGTGGCCTGGGCCCCACTGGCCTTCGTACCCCCCTAGATGGAAACGTATACGTAGCTACCTGCCAGACCACCCCAACCTGACCCGAAGACCCACATGTCGGGTTGGGGGGGTATAAATTCAACCTGTTTTTTCAACATTTCCCGACGCCCCCCGCATTGGAAATGGAGGCCTACTTGGGCCTTCGGGTTGTGTTGGGGTGGTTTGGTGGGCGGCGAACATAGAACCATCGCGGGTTTCGCGCGTGCTCGAGCTCTACTTGCTATGGAGCCAAACGTATGGCGCGTCACAAGGGCCCTGTCCAACTGATCGGGCCCTTGGCTTGGAAACGTACGCCTTGGTGCCTGAAATCGCCTTGTCGTTTTGCTTGTGCGACAGTTCTGGCCTGGGCCCTACTGGCCGTTGTACCCCCCTAGACGGGGATCCACGCTGTTCCCTTCGGGTGTCCAAAGGCATATCTCCAACTAGGGGGTGGGATGATACGGCTGAGAGACCCGGTTAGACGGTACTCAGCCTCTGCGCCCGGGAGCATGAAGGCCATGAGCTGCCGCACCTGCTGCTCCAGCGCGGCCTGCAGGCATCGGAAAAAACACCGAAATCTTGGCGCCGCAGATGCTTCACCACGGGCGTTTTCGCACGATTTCCGGCCCCCAGAACCCCACGGGTCGACCAGGCTCGAAAATGCTTAAGAAAAAATGGGGTGTAAGGCTGCGGTCGCCCTGTCCCGCCAAGCTGCGATGCTTCGCAACGTCGGGTCTCAAAGATAGGCGCAGCGTCACGCAAAGAAGCCTCTGGCAGTTGCTGCATGCACTTGATGTCGGCCTGTGGTGCCACAGCATGGGTACAACGGTACTCCCTGTCGGACCGCATTGCGCGGCATCACGCTGCGTTAGCTGCCATATAGCGGCATGGCATAACATGATATGGCGCGAAGCTGTGAGCGGAAGTGTTGTTGCGGTGACACCCTAGTTCGTCCGTTGTAGCTGCTGCTGCCGCTGCTGATGACGATGGCAAGAAATCAAATGCTTGAACGATGACACATGGAAACAAAACACACATTCTCGAAACAGCAGCTGCACACTAGAAGCATCGACGAGGACCACAACCCTAGCAGCTAGGGATGTGAAAACCTGCGTGGCGTAACCCAAAACTGTGTTTCATGTTTCGTACCGTCCCGCCACGAGCGTGCGAAGCAATACGTGCTGCGGTTTCGCTTGAAACGTCAACGTCCCATCGTAGCGTCCATGATACACTGGTGTCCCATTGTCGTGTTCCGTTGTTGCGTTCCGTCGGTTTTGTCCGCTGTGTGGTCCGTTCTGGTTGCCAGCGGGGTTGCTTTCCGACGAGTTCAAATGGTCGTGCCGATTTGGCTGCGCTCCCTTTCGTCCACCCGCTTGGTGCCTTATGTTTCGGTGGTCAGCGAACATTTGCACTTAGTGGGGTGATTAGCGCATGATGGGTACCCGTGCCAGAGTGAACCTTCGGTGGGGCTTGGGCGCTGAACTGCGCGGGCTATGGGCCAACGGACGGGGGGATAGAATTCCGCTAGAACGAAACGCAAGAGTGCGCGCGGAAAACGCATGTGCACTTGGCCACTGGGGCCTTCGGTAGAGCCCCTTATGGGCCACGAAACGCTGTACTGCACGGGGGAGGCGCTTGTGGACTTTGCCACCGCGGCCTTCAGTGGAGCCCCCCTATGGGACACGAAACGCTGTACTGCGCGGCACAGCCACTGGGGCCTTTGGTGGGGCGCCCTATGGGCCACGGCACGCTGTACTGCGCGGGGGAGACGCATGCGGACACAGCCACTGGGACCTTCGGTGGAGCTCCGCATGGGCCACAGAACGCTGTACTGCGCGGGGGAGACGCTTGTGGACTTTACCACTGCGGCCTTCGGTGGAGCCCCCCTAGGGTCCACGAAACGCTGTACTGCGCGGGGGAGACGCTTATGGACTTTGCCACTGGGGCCTCCTGTGGAGCCCCCTGTGGGCCACGAAACGCTGTACTCGGCGGGGGAGACGAATGTGGACCCTGCCACTGGGGTCTTCGGTGGAGCCCCCATATGGGCCACGAAACGCTGCAATGGGAGGGGGGAACGCATGTGGACACAGCCACTGGGACCTTCGGTGGAGCCCCCGTATGGTCCACGAAACATTGTTCTGGGTGGGGGGCACGACTGGGGGAGGGAGACGCACGTGGACTTTGCCTCTGGGGCCGTCGGTGGAGCCCCCGTCGGGCTACGAAACGTTGTACTGTGCGGGGGAGACACACGTGGACCCCCCTACCACTGTGACCTTCGGTGGAGCTCACTATGGGCCACGAACATTGCACTCTGGGGGGGGGGGAGACGCATGTTGACCCTGCCACTGGGACCTTCGGTGGGGCTGCGCTGAACTGCGCGCGGGCTATGGGCCACGAAACGCTGGGGGGAGACGCATGTGGGCACAGCCACTGGGACCTTCGGTGGAGCCCCCATATGGGCCACGAAACGCTGGTCTGGGTGTGTGAGACTATTGGGTGGGGGAGACGCATGCGGACACAGCCACTGGGACCTTCGGTGGAGCTCCCGATGGGCCACGAAGCGCTGTACTGAGTGGGGGAGATGTATGTGGACCCTGCCACTGGGGCATTCGGTGGGGCTCCCTATGGGCCATGGGCCACGAACCGTACTGGGTTGAGGAGACCCATGTGGACCCAGCCACTGGAACTTTCGATGGAGCTCCCTATGGGCCACGCAACGCTGCACTGCGTGGGGAAGACCCATGTGGACTTTGCGACTGGAGCCTTCGGTGGAGCTCCCTATGGACCACGAAACGTAGTACTGGGTAAGGGAGACGCATGTGGACCCTGCCCCTGGGACCTTCGGTTGAACCCGCTATGGGCCACGAAACGCTGTACTGGCGCGGGGGAGACGCTTGTGAACTTTGCCACTGTGGCATTCGGTGGAGCTCCCTATGAGGCCACGAACCGTGTGAGTGGTGTACCGAACTGGTAGACTGATGCGGAGAGCAAAACTCCTCGTGGGTCGGAAGAAGTGGGTAGAAACATGAAGTAGCAAGACGTTGAAATTAGCTTGGGCTTCCGCCCGCCTCCTGAAGAGGAGGGAAGAGGGGAAACCACTCAACTCTTTCAAAGTAGGAAGGCGGCTAAAGTAGTTTGGGATCTGGGAGCCCAAAGATACCTACTTTCAACGACCGGCGTGTAAGGAGGGGGAGGAGAGAGGCGGGAGGAGGTGGGAGAGACGCGGGGCGCTGTCTCTTGAAACTAAAACCCAACACCACAGAGTGGTTGGAAAAAATGCCAGGGTGAAGCAAGTACAATGTGAAATGTCATACGCACGCATCGTGTGCACTGCTTCGTGCGCTTCGAAGAGGAGGCACCAGCAGCTCGCAAAGGTAGCCATCCTCCCCCCCCCGCCCCGCGCCCTCCTCCACCTTTTCTCCTCTCCCATCCTCGATCCCCGTGTCTCCATCGTCGTCTCCAGCATCCACCCCCCTTTCTGCTCCCGACAACCCTCCTCTTCGCCGTCCTCCTCCACCTGCTCCTCCTCCTCCCCCTCCTCCTCCTCCTCCTCCTCCTCCTCCTCCTCCTCCTTCTCATCATTCTCTTTTCCCTCCCCCTCCTGCCCGTCTAGAGGAACAACAAACTGCATACACATCGGCGCATAGTTTTTTGATACTCGCTGGGCCCTTCCCCCTGGCGCGCGGAGCGCCACGGAGGCGTCGCCGGAGGGGTTCAGCGCATATCTGAAACATCTGCGCGGAAATTCGACGTTACATGACAATATGTTTGAATGATTCCCCGGACTCATCCTCCTCATCGTCCCCCTCCACGTCCCTCCCCTTTCTACTCATCATCCATCTCCTCCTCCACCTTCTTCTCCTCCTCCTCCTCCTCATCCTGATCATCAGCATCATCATAATCATCATCATCATCATCATCATCATCATCATCATCATCATCATCATCATCATCATCATCATCATCACGACCATCACCATCATCAGTCTGCAACGAGTATCACCAACACCCGCGCCATCACCATCATCATCACCACCACCACCACCATCATCATCAGCAGCATCATCATCATCATCAGCATCAGCAGCAGCATTATCGTCATCATCATCAGCATCATCATCACCACCACCACCACCACCACCATCATCATCATCATCATCATCATCATCATCATCATCATCATCATCATCATTAGCAGCATCATCATGCTTATCCGACTTACCAGTATCATTATCATCATCACCATCATCATCGTCAAAATCAGCATCATCATCATCACCACCAGCATCATCGTCAGCATGATAATCACCATCTCCATCAGTATCATCATCATCTTCTTCTTCATCATCCTCATCATCATCATCATCATCATCATCATCATCATCGTCATCGTCACCATCATCATCATCGTCCCCATCATCATCGGCATCAGCATCATTATCATCAGCATCAGCATCAAGATCATCATCCTGATAATCAGCATCCTCATCAGCACCTTCATCAAAGACAGCATGGTCGTCATCACCATCAACATCATCAGCATCATCAATATCATCATCAAAATCATCATCCTCATGATCAGCATTAGATTCAGCATATTCATCGTCATCAGCATCATCATCGTCAGCAGCATCATCATCGTCGTCAACATCAGCATCATCAACGCTATCATCAGCACCCTCGCCATTACCATCATCGACAGCGCAATCAGCATCATCAGCTTTACAATCAGCATCACCGTCGTCATCATCATCAGAATCATCAGCAGCATCGCCAGCACCAGCACCCTCAATAACATCAGCATCATGAGCACCAGCATCAGCATCATCAGCATAATCGTCATCATGATTATGGCTAACACCAGCAGGATCACGATCAGCATGACCATCATAATCATCATCAGCAGCATAATCAGCATCAGCATCCTCAGTATCGGCATCATCAGCGTCAGCAGAATCAGCATCAGCATCATCATGATCATCCTCATCATCATCATCGTCATCATCATCGCATTCGTGATCGTGATCGTGTTCGTTATCATCGTCATCATCGTCATCATCGTCATCATCATCATCAGCATCATCATCAGCATCATCACCAACATCAGCATCATTATCATAATCGTCAGTATCAGCAGCAGCATCATCAGCAACATACTACTGATGCTGATGATGATAATCATCATCGTCGTCATCATCGTCGGTACCAGCATGAGCACCAGCATCCGCACCACCATCATCATCACCACCATCATCAGCATCAGCAGCCACAGCCAGCATCATCATCATCAGCATACTCATCATCAACAGCAGCATCGTCATTAGCATCATCAGCATCAGCAGCAGCATCATCAGCAGCAATATGATCACAATCATCATCTGCATCAGCATGAGCATCAGTATCAGCATCGTCATCCTGCGCGGGGGTGCCAATTATCAATCGTTATCGCGCGTCATCGTCATCAACCAACTCATCGTGTCGGGGGTCGTTCCGGTCGTCGTCGGGCCTCCCCTCCTACCTCCTCCTAGCCTCCCTCCGTCCTTTCCCGCTTCCTCCTGTCCTCCTCCATCCTCGCTCCTCCTCCTCCTCCTCCTCCTCCCTCTCTCTCCACCTCTCTTCCTCCTTTCTCCCTCCTCCTCTCCTCCTCCCATCCTCCTCCTTCCTCCTACCTCCTCCTCCTCACTCCTCCTCCTCCTTCCCCATGCCTTCCTCATCCTCCTCCTTCTCATCCCCGCCCCTTTTTTTCCTCTTCCTCCTCCTCTCCCATCCACACCCCGCCTCTCCTCCTCCTCCTCTCCTCCTCCCCTCCTCCTCCTGCCCCTTCTCCTCCTCCTCCCATCTCCACCTCCGCTCCAGCCTCCCTCCTCCTCCTCCTCCCCTCCTCCTCCTCCTCCTCCTCCTCCTCCTCCTCCTCCTCCTCCTCCTCCGCCTCCTCCAACTCATCGTTCTCCTCCCCCTCCTCCTCCCCATGCCCCGTTGCTGGCCTGCTCGCCGCGCGCGAGGCCACGGCAGTCCAGAACGCGGTCGAAGGCGCCGAGGGCCGCCGACAGCGGGGTGAGAGCCTCCTGGGGCCAGCTGGCAGCCCAGGGTCAGAAGGAGGCTCCTTCCTCCTCCTCCTCCTCCTCCTCCCTCCTCCCTCCTTAGCTCCTCCTTTCCTTCCTGCCTGCCTCCTCTGCTCCTTCCCTTCTCCCTCCTCCTCTCCTCCTCTTCCTCCTCCTCCTCCTGCTCCTCCTCTCTTCCTCTCCTGACTCCTCCTCTCCTCGTGCCCTCCTCCTCGCTCCTCCTCCTCCTCTTTCCCTGCTGTCCTCGCTCTCCACCTTTAAACTCGCTCCTCCTCCTCCTCCTCCGTTCCTTCTCCTTATAAATGGCAGGCCGGGCGCTTCGCCTGAGACCTCCTTTCCGCTTCTGAAAGTTGGCACCAAAATGTGGCTCTCGCCGTAGCGCCACGAGTACACATCCGTGCTAAAAAACTTGCAAGGGCTTCACGGATTGACGGCAGGTCGTCTTCAAAATGTGGCTCTCGCCTGAGCGCCGCGCACACTCACTCCATACACGTGCAAGAGCTTCACGGGTTGAGGACGGCTCCTTTTCAATATGTGGCTCTCGCCTTAGCGCCACACACATTCGAGTCAATCATGTTGCACCAGTTTCACGGATTCTCATGGCTATCGTACCAGAAGCGGCGTTTTGGAACGATTCTGGGTTGTCAAGGCGCAGCAGTTACGTTGATTCGCGGTGTTGAAATCCCAGGA